TTGGCCTTTGTACTTTGGGCTTTTTTGGGCCATCTGTGATCAACTGATGGATTAAGGGAATTATTGGGCTTAGGATAAGGCCCATATGGGGGTTGGGCCCAATTTGGAAAATTGGGTCATTAGTGGGCTTTTATGAATTTTATAGTTTTGGGCCTATTGGTTTTGGGCCTGGGCTTCAGTTTTGGTCAGGGGTAAAATGGTCATTTTACCCCAAGTATAGATTATAGATCTTGGTTTGGGAACCCAATTGCTAATTTGGTGCTATTTTGGTATTGTTAGATCAGGAAGTTGTCAGGGCAGTAGCTAAGGATTTCTTGCAGTGAGCTTTAGCATTCGAGGTGAGTCTCCTCACTGTTCTATGGGTCGAAGGCACCAATGCCGGCCCATTTGGTTTCTGTATGGTAGGAAGACCTGGGGGTGACCCTTGGCATTTTGTATTAAAGATCAGGAGGTGGCTCCTGACAATTTGTATGAAGGACCAGAGTCTGAACTCTGGCAAATGTTAGTTAAGTAGCTGTAGATTGTATGCTAGTTGTCTTTGTGATACTTGCATGTAAGAACAGGAGGTGGCTCCTGTCACTTGTCTGTAAGACCCAGGGTTGTGGCTCCCGACCTGGCAAGGAAGACCACGAGGCGGCTCGTGGAATAATGACAAGACTATGGTTGGCACGTAGCACTCCTATTGATTATGTTTATGTGTGATATATATAGCTCATGATTATGTATGTTATGTAAGGCTTGTTTGATATGTATGGTATGAGGTATCTGATGAACTCACTAAGGTTTGTGCTTACAGTTTTGTTTATGGTTTAAGGTATTTCCGATTCAAAAAGGAAGGGTCCGGCTTGATCGCAGCGCATACACCCGTGTTTTCCACAATATGTGATTTTGGGATTTAACTGTGATAAATATTTTACTTAGCAATGTTTTTGAATGTTTGGATGAAGTAACACATGTGTTTTGACTATAATAAAAATGAAAATTTTATCCTTGATTTTTGGGGTGTTACAAGTAATCTGTTAAAATAACAACCTACTTTGAAATATGAAATATCTCGAAATAATGTGTTTTTTTTCCTTTAACCTAATATAGCAATGTACTTTCTAAGTACAATGATATATTTCATATTAAACCAACGACCAATTTTTTTTTCAATTTATTACCTTTTATAGCATGTTTCTTTGACATAAAAGTTGCTAATTTGTTCTTTTTTTTCTCAGAATAGAAGAAATTGATGATATTTATAAAGTGTTAATAAAAATATGCATATGTTTTTTTAATATAATATGTTATGAGAATGTGTAGTCGACAAAAACAATCCTTCAAGAAGCAAAAGCGAATCGAATTCATATATAAAAGCAAGATTGATAGCTCTTTCACTAAGAATCTATAGTTGAAAGAAACTTTCATAATAAAAAAACTAAATCATAGAAAAACTCCTCATATCAACCCATAAAATGCACATAGTTACAAATTGGCACATTTACACACAAAAAATACAATGCAATAATAATACGGTTAGAAACATATGATGATTAGTAGTGATTAAACATGTGATGATTAGTGGTGATTGAATATAAAATAAAATGATTTTGCTTGGTCTAATAATTGTAGAATATGTGGCGATGGATGATGTGAAAGAAAAATAACATATTATGAATTAAAATGAAGGGTTGTGTCGTTTATTTGATATGCAGTATAAATGGAGATCAACTAAAAAATGTAATTACGATAATGTATACCTGATTTCTTGGAATACATTAAAAATCTGAGAGATTTAATATGATTTTGAATTGATAGATATCCTATATTTCAAAATTGTTATCAAGATATGAATTTTATTTTCAAAATTTGAACTGAAATTAATTTGTCACAAAGAAAAAGGAAAATGGTAGATGTTTTAGAAAAATGCTAAAGAACACGTGACAATTTTAGGTTTCGTTACTAGAATAGATTGAATAGATTACGCAACACTTACGATCGCAACAACAACACGAACAACCAATTCCAAACTCAAAAAAGGAGCGATCTAAGTCACATGCACCACAATACAATGACTAAATTTAGGCAATTCGGATCCATCATATAATGTCCAACTAGTATAAACAACTTGCTCACATATATTTAATGTTTTATACAAAGTTATTTTCTCACATCTTATCATCAAAAGCCTACTTAGGCAACACCACGTTTTTTCATGAAAACATCTCATAAACATTGGTTTAGTACTTTAGTTCTTCATGTATACTTAATCTTAAATGTGTTAATGTGCGTTGGCGTTTTGCAATATATCTTTCATACCTTTCTTACATCAAAATTGAAGATCCACTCCTCTTGCCCCAAAGCTTAACCTTTTGTTATATTGTAATAAAAACCATACAACACAAAACCGATCATTCATACTTTATTCAATTTATTATTTCTATATTTTTGTGTCGAATATATGATTAGATGGTGAAATGATAAGTTTTAGTGATAATAACCAAGCCATCTAAACTTATTAGTGATAAAAACCAAGCCATCTAAACTTATGACAACTTTAGGTGTGATTGTTAGTTTCTTAATTTTTCAATTAAGATGTAGATTCTTATTTTTTTTAGATTTAGATTGTTTGATGGTCTCTTAAGTTTTGCCTCTTAATTGTTCACCAACTCTTAATTTTTAAAAGAAAAGTTGTATCTGAATAAATAATGAGGTGCGTGCTCCGAAAACAACCAAATTTTTTCAGCAAACTTTTTCCTTCTTCTCTTTCTATTTCACATGACTGTCTCCCTTTTGCCTCCCATTATCCTCTCCGACCACTTAAAAATTCAGACCTTTTAAAAATTTAGATATTAAAAGTTCAGATCTTATCAAACAACTCATTAATGTTAGGTCGATTGATATACTTGCAACGAATTATCTGTGGCTTATGTGGCAGCTAGGCCACAGTCGTGCACACCACCCCTGGTGTCACGTCTATGATGTTTCATTGAGGGTGGCACCAATGTTTACGAGCCTATGCGAAAGCTTGGGGTTAATTCTTTTGACTGTTCTTTGACTAACTGTTACTTTAAAAAAAATCATTAAATATTAGAGTAAATTACACGAATGGTCTCTATGGTTTAAGATAATTTGCGCGTTTGGTCCCTAGCTTATTTTTTAAACTCGGAAGGTCCCTATTGTTTGTTTTTGTTACGCGTTTGGTCCCTGTTTTACCTAAAAATACTATTTTTCCCTTGATTTTTTTAATTTATTTAAATAAACACACCCCAACCCCACCCCATCACCCTACCTTACATACCCCACCATTTTCCCCTATTTAAAATAATAGTCTTTTTAGGTAAGACAGGGACCAAACGTGTAACAAAAACAAACAGTATGAACCAAGCGCGTAACAAAAACAAACAATAGGGACCTTCCGAGTTAAAAAAGAAGTTAGGGACCAAACGCGCAAATTACCCCAAACCATAGGGACCATTCGAGTAATTTACTCTAAATATTAATCACTCCATCTTTCCCATAAATACCAACCATTTTATTACAATTTTTTCATATCATTTCTTTCTTCCTTCTTTACACAAACCTACCATGGAACAACCTTGGGAAGTTCCCAAGGAAGAAATTGTGTTGGTTAATGCTTGGATTTTCGGTGTCCGACGACCCTATGTAAAGAAGAGAAACATTTTGGCAATCTATTTGAAACCACTTACACAACGATATAGAAAAATGTTTTCATCGGGATCTGGATGTACTTTCGTCAAAATGGTGTGATATGAGTTTAAAAGTAACCGAGTTCAACCTCATTTACAAGGAACTCAATAACACACATCCAAATATGAGTAACGACTTTGTAGTAATCGATATGGCGTTGAAACAATAAAAGAGTATAAAGTCATGTCTTTCAAAGATAATCATTTCAACTTGATATGTTTTCATCTTGACATAAAATAGTATAAAATCATTGTTGTTACAAACAAGTAAGAAAACGTAAATTTTACCATTTCACGAAATATCAAACTATCCAGTGAAAGCTTTTGATAGAACAAACATCAACATAAAAATGTAGATTATCAGTTGTTGATATGCTTCTACCATTAACTTGATCACATGTGCGTGCTCAAAAAAATAACAAAACCTGAATTCATATACGTAGTATATAGGGACCATTGTACTTCAACTAACGAATCCTTTTGTAAAATACATAGTCTTTTGTATATATTTTATGATATGTAATTTCCATTTTGGTATTCTAGTGATAAACCCGATTATCAAACATCATAAGTTAATATTATATTTAGTGTTTCATAATCAGAATCCAAGATATCCCTTGATAGCATCTTTAATAATTTTTTTTAAATGTACTATTTATTAAATATATTTTTTATATATATTACATATGTTTAACTAATAATAAATTAAATATTAAACATTTTATAAAATTTGTGATAACTTAATTAATATTTTTTTAAAGGGATAATAATAAGAGATTATTTATGTTAATAGTTTTTTTTTTATGTATTTAAAAAATATGATGTGACAAATAAAAAGAAAACGTTAGTGTTACGGATCTACAAGTTCTTTTTCATTCTTACAAAGTTCTATCAGAGTATCTATCTTTCACAAATCCTTGCACCCATGCATATTTGAGGAATTTGCAAAAATTTTCGCCCAGCTCACTCTCCATTGATTGCCAAAGAAGTGAAAGCTCAAACAATGCTACTTGCTAGCGTCCTCTAGCTGAAGCTTTCTCTCGAAACTTTCGCTTGTAAGTCTTTGCTTGCTAACTGTTCGACGAATTGCCTACAAGAAAGGTTGCTTTGAACTCTAACTCAAACAGTGCTTGCAAATACCACATAAACTTCTGAACTTTTAGTACGTAATTTGAGTAATTGTTTCCACAGATCAAAACTTATACATAATCTTAACCTGTAGCTTCAAATTTGAGAACCACCATATCCCTAACCCCGGTGAATTTTGTGGATAAAGGAATGGCGATGTGTGTCTTTACCACTCACAACATGAAGAACTACCAAATCCCTAATTCCGGTGCCAAAACGAGAGGATCCAAATACACCGGCCAATCCATAAAACCACTCCCAATCCACATCCTCACAGTCGGCAAAACCAGATCGCTGGGAGTCCAATTGATAGTTAAGGACTACGTGGACAAAATCAAACCCTACTGCCCGATTCACGACCTTAGAATCCGATCCAACCCCAAGAACTCAACCGATCCAAGGATCCAGATTGAAAACGAAGAGATAGGTTTCATGAATTTCATCAAACAAGATGATTGGGTGGTGATGTTGGATGAAAATGGAATCGATTTGAAGTCTGAGGAAATGGCAGACTTGATCGGGGATGCTGGAACTGGAAACAAAGGAAGTGGTTCAAGAATGGTGTTTTGCATTGGAGGGGCTTATGGGCATGGGATGAAAGTGAGGGAGAGAGCTAATCTGAGGGTAAAATTGTCATCTTTGGTACTTAATCATGAGATTGCATTGGTGGTTCTTGTTGAGCAGCTTTATAGAGCATGGACTATTCTGAAAGGCCAAAAATACCATCATTAGAATTTAGAAGTGCACATCGTGTTCAAAAATGTATTTGATTTATTGTTCATCTTCCTCTTCAATCTTTCATGTAGAGTTGGTGAATCAAATAGCTCTAAAATCTTTAGTGTAACATTCAATCCACATCTATTGTGTCTTTGAGACATTACCAATTTTTGATTTGTAAGCTTTACAACATTCATACACAGTACACATATTCACATCATTTGAATCTTGCAAAGTTGCAATACATTAATCAATAATTGATAGAAAAACTAAGCAAAAATATCAATGTGGACGATAATGAAGTACATTATTTATATATGTTGTGTATATGTAGAACCGCTGCAAAATGCAATTGGGTTATGCTTAAAAAGTTGGTATTTAAAAATTTATATTATTACGAAGTAAAAGACTTAAACTAAGTTTCAGCGAATTAAGCATTGATGGGCATTTGGTCTAGTGGTATGATTCTCGCTTAGGGTGCGAGAGGTCCCGAGTTCAATTCTCGGAATGCCCCATTTTTTCATTACTCCAATAGAGTGGGTTCAATTAAACCATTATTTGACTTCTTTTTATTCAAATATAATTATAATTACGTATCCTTTTCATTTTCAATATTATATTTTCTTAAATTCGTTTTTTTAATGATTTCTTTATATATAAACACCAAGAATTGGTTGAAACAACAAAACATCCTAAAAGTATGCCATTTAGACCTCTTCAGGTTAAAGCGTTCGATTGGCTATGAAAATGGTTCATGATTTTCTTAAAATGTAAAAAATTTGTGTTTGTTTTACTGTATAATGAATGAGGATTTAAGGCAACGTGTTATGAATCAATTTAAATGTGTTCCAATTGAAGTACATGGCTATTTTCACGTGCATATGATACATTATAAAACTGTCTATGAAAAGTAACTTAATTACATATGTGCAATTTTGTTCAATAAATGTATTTGGGCACTAAATGGGAAAAATGAAAAGGGGAAATGTGATAGTTTAAATGCTGATACCTCTATTTTTTTTATAACAGTAGTTATGAATGCTGAAATGTTTTTTTTTTCTTTAATTTAAGTTTGAAGTTTTCCGACTAATTATTTCTATAATAATGCCTAAAGCAATTTTACATGTAAACAAGCGATACTTGAGTTTAGTAAGATTCTAATTATTTCTATAATATTCTGATAAGGTCTTGAAAGTTAGCCCAACCCTAACTGGGCCGTCATTGATTATTTTGTTTATTACATTGATACTTTTCAATTAATTTACTACAACAGTATACATTTTGAAAATAGGAATAATTACATGACGACGAGGCATTATATTTTGAGAAAAAAATAAACTTGGCTAATTTTGTAAAGTAACGTTTTTTCAAAAATGACAATTAATTCCTCAGACAAAAACTACGAAATTACTGAGAGTACCTACAAAATTCTTTCCGCTCTATGAAACGACCGTTTGTTTAAAACAACAGGCAGCACCCAATTACGATGTGACAATTAATATGTATATTAGAATAAAGATTAGGCTAAAGGGTTTTGTGATTGTTTTGTCAATATAGCAATTTTATCATTTTTGTCACAATTTGAATATGAGTGGGATGTTGTGATATTTTTACCTTTGAAATAATAATAAAAAACCAAATTTCCAATGACCAATCAATATTTAGAATAGAAACCAAACATCCAAATAATATCGATTTATCACTTATGAAATTTCACCATTAAGATTTGCCAAAAATAAAAAAATAAAAAACTAGTCAAAGGTTGGTGTTTGCCACCGGCAAACTAATCAACATCAGCATGTCATCGTCAAAAACTCCATGACACTGTGCACCCTTACATAACTAACATTACACTAAGGACCTAGGAAACATTTATGTTTTGGTTTAAATGGTTCACCATTTATTTTTATATTTTATAGTGGTATAAACTTCGATTTTATTTTATTTGGACCCTTAACTCATAATAATATGTTTTAATCCCACATACACACATATTTACCAAAATTATTCTACACAACAGTATCAAATGTTGTCATTTTTCTTTGAGTTCGAAAGTTCAAGTGTCGTCTGGACAAAGATGAATTTAAGAATATTTTAGAAGTAAAATACATTTCCTTAAAAAAGTACACATATTTAATACATCGGGATCCTATGTTTACGCCTAGTCACATCGATGTGTGCAAAACTAGTCCATGTTTGACTACACAAATAAATCAACACACACACACACACACACACACACATATATATATATATATATATATATATATATATATATATATATATATATATGAGTGAGTTCAACACATAACCAAATTACATCATCTAACCACATAACCACTTCATAACCATTAGATCAAATTCAATGCAAAAGGGTATGATGGTAAAAACAATTTATTTTCATACATGGTATGATGGTTAAAAAATATTTATGTTCATCTATAAACATATATTCATCTAGGAAAATATATTCATCTATGAACATATGTTTATCTATGAATATATGTTTTCATAAATGAAAAATGTTCAAAAACATTCTATACAGTGAAAATGGGAGAAGATGGAGAAGACAAAAAAATGTTCAACAGCGTTACATATGAACAAATGTGAAATCCATTGTTGTACGCCTCGAAAAAAATTGCTAAAAACATTAATTTTTTCTCTACATTTTCCACTTGAATTCCTACTGTTTCCAGCAGGTTTTTTTCTCAAAAGTCTTATAGATCCAATCACGCTGTGCATACTTAGATATTTCCTTCTACAAGTCTGTGAAAGTTAAAAACAATAATCAACGAATTAAACTGGAAAAATGAATTCATTTTGTTTAGAATTCGGATATTTAAACATTGAATTATCAACTTGATGTAAGAAAAATAAGTAATAGAATTTGATTGCTTCATTAATAAAGAAGATATGTTCATATATGAACATATGGTTATTTACGAATATATGTTCATTTATGAACATTTGTTCATTTATGAACATATGGAAAATGAGAAGTAAGAAGTTGATGTAGATTCAAATCTAGATTTCATCAAGTAAGCATGAATAACTTTTCAACAATATAACCACTTGGGTTGTGGTGACTTGGTAAGACATGCAGAAGATATGATGGATAACCTATTGACCCATGTTCAAATCCTGGCACCACTCAACCCTTGTGGCCATGGAGGTTCGCCTGCAGTGACTCCAGGGCATGAGGCAAAGCTTCATGTTTGCAGTGGGGGATTAGTCGGTGCTCGAAAGCTGGCCTGGAAACCCTCGTTAGGGAAGTTCCCTTTCCAAAAAAAAAAACTTTTCAACAACATCCCAAGAATTACATGCCCTTGATTGATCCCTAATCAAATTCTTATCAAATAATAGATCTTAAAATGAATAATAGCTTGAAGTCTTCTAGATTTCCTTTATGTGTCATTGTCATTGTAGCTAGAAATTAGAGAATTGCTTTGCTCCAAAAGGTATCTAACCAAATGTTAGTACTCCTGAGTATGCATATAAATTACTTCCATTATGAAGTTTGAAGGATGTTAAACCTAAAATTTATCCATTTGTACTTAAATCAACCTAAGAAACATAAATTATAAGCATATCATTAATCAAGTACCCTTAAATGAGAAGTACTCATCAGATTAACTCATAGATGTAGTAACAGACTTTCAAGCAGGACTTTTCATATTTGGTTTGTTCCACCAGTAAATTATCTTCAAGTTCAGTCACTTCTGTCAATAGTAAACTATCTTTGCTTGTTCTTAACATGTAAGCATTTATAGGAATTAGAAATTTGCCACTAACTTTGTGAACATATATATATATATATATATATATATATATATATATATATATATATATATATATATATATAATGTGTAGGTTGAAAAAATAACTAACCAGAAGAGTTGATAACTGTGTTGTAAAGTGTTCTGGAAGAAAGTGGCTCTGTAACACTAAGACATGATGTTGAGGAACAAAGAAATAACATTTGATTAAGGGAGAAACAAGATGTCGCATATCAAACTGCAATTGAAGCTAATCAAGTAAGTTCTTATTTGTTTTTTTTAAATTAGATGAAACTGAAAATGAAGTTAATCAAGTAAGTTCTTATTTGCCTATCAAAAGAAGCATATGCTCATCTAAGAACAAAAACATATATGAACATATGTTCAAAAATGAACATAAGCTCAAATTTACCAAACATGTGGATAAATCATAAAAACAAAACATATTCACAAATAAATATATGTTCATACTAGGATAGAGATGGCAGATTCACATTAATATGACCATATGTTCAAACATATTTCATTTTTGAGGTTGCATTTAAGGCTTGAAGTTGTGTGCCATTTGTTGCAAAATAGGTCCACCATATGATCCAACTTGTTGATCTGGTAAATTGTTGCCCTAGCTATTGTGTGGTCTATGTTAACTGATGTGGTTGTTGACCAGGAACACCATTTTGGTTGTGAAGTGGATTAATCAAAAATTGTTGATTGTGTGTCCTCAAGAAAAGCCAAGAACTCCTTAACTGATAGCTTAATCTAATGTTTATTTATCAGAAAAAAGGATCAAAGTAATTCAGTAGAAATCTAGTAATAAAAGTTATTCTTAAACAACATCATACAATTTAGTCTCATACAATATCTGAAAAAAACACTCTTTGTTGTTTCATGTTTCAAGAATTAAACAAGATATTGCACATTATTAACGTATTAGTAAAATTTAGATGTGTAAGGTGACACCTTATGATTTGATGAGTCAAACATATTAGACGCTGACCACCATCGCCAACACCAGATCTCATCAGCGTCAGCATGAACTTCATAATCTAAGTAACCTTTGTATATTAGGCAGTTATACATGTGTGTGTGTGTATATATATATATATATATATATATATATATATATATATATATATATAATAGATATCTGATCCGTAATCTTGTGATTAGGATCAGACCTTTACTTAGATAGGTATACATCCCTTAATTAGTGTGATTTCAGTTATTGTAATCAAATGT